CCAGTTCCACAAAAACCAACATTATGGTCGCCGAGTCTGACAAAAAGCCGTGCACCGAGCAGCAGCTATACCACCTCCATTGTTGTGTTTTGTTTGTGTCCCATACAAATGACGTCATGGGGCGTGCATCACGTGGTACTGAATTCTAATGGATCTATTCTATTCAGTTTTATTTATACAGCGCCAAATCACAAAAACAGTTGCCTCAAGGTTCTTTATATTGTAAGGTAGACCCCACAATAATACATAGAGAGGAAAAACCCAACAATTATATGACCCCTATGAGCAAGCACTTTAGTAATAGCGGGAAGGAAAAATTCCCTTTTGAGAGGAAGAAACCTCAGGCAGAACCAGATTGGGCGATTGGTGTAAGAGATTTCATTTTTAGTATTCTCAGATGCTGTATGAGCCAATACATTTATAAAATAGACAACTTTTTGAGCCCTGATGTGTTAAATTTAAAGTGCCAAAACATTTGAAGTCTTAAACGGTGTACCTAGTCTTGTCTGGTGAAGCACTTTTTGTTGCTGGGCTGAGACATCTGTGCACCGCAGCCTCTTGCAAATTGCATGTGGGGTCGTTTGACTGACAGCAGGAGAAAATAAAAATGGGTAAGAGCAAAAAGTGCAATATTGGAAGTTATTTTCACATCTCTTTGTGAAAAGGCAGTAGGAACTTTGATGTGGCAAATCACAAGAACAATTACAGACTTCAGGAAATGAAGTTTGTAGATAAAATGCTGCCAAAGGAACAATTTCCCCCTGGTTAGCCTCTGTTGCTGTATTGTTTTACCTAAAAGTGGGATATCGTATGGCTCTTTGTGATTCTAGCAAATATAATGTGCACATAAGCCTTTCAATATGACGGACAAAAAAAGTTATTTACTTTTCTCCTGGCAAAAAGGAAGCTGTTATTATTTGTGTTTATATCTACTGTGAATGTGTTGAAGCAGACTTTCTACACTATGAACAGATTACCGCTCTGAATCACTACTTCATGACTTCAGAATAATGAGGGTGAAGAAAAAACTAAGTGAAGTTTGTTCTTTTTCAATACAGGTTAAGGGTTGAATGTCAAGCAGTCAGGAAAAGCTTTCAGAGCATCATTTAGGGATACACCGCAGATATTTGGCTCATATCTGCCTGTTTATGCCTAAATAAAGCTAAAAGGAGTATAGTGATGAAGGAAGCCAACAGCAAAGAGTTGGCAATTAGGAGGCATTTCACACCTCTGATACCAACAGCTTTTCTTGGTATGTTTGCAGTATATTTATTTATTCATTAAATTTAAACACAAACTGTGGTCATAGTGAGTCTTTCTGTGTTGGTGTTTCTTGCTCTCACTTTAGGGTTGTTGTAAAACAGGGCCTATAGTTTGTTGTGGACTCAGACCAGTTATTCCTGCTATACTTCTTTGAGGACTCCAATGGTTGGTACGGTGTAGCGGTCAGTAAAACCTGGCAGGCATGCACAGAATCCTACTTTCACTATCTGATGACAACATTTTTGTCACTAAGACCCCGTGGAGCCCAGCAGATTTGCTCATAACCCTTGTCGGGAAGCATTGCAAGCACAATGCTGTATTGTGCTTGCAGTAATCTTAATGTGGTAATGTCAGCTTGATTTTTTTGATTATTTCACTTCACCAGTCAGATTCACTCCACGTGAGATTTATGTGTGAGGACACATTGGAGTGAAACTGAGATGCAGGAAAGCTGAAATGAAACTATATTGCAAATAATTTAGGAGAATCACATTATACCTGCTGGCTGGGTAGAACCTTTCTATTTCTTTGCATATTCTCCTTGTGCCTGTGTGGGTTCTCTCCAGGTACTCTGGCCTCCTCCCAAGTCCAAGACATTAGCCTAACTGGTGACTTTAAATTGGCCTCAGGGGTGAGCAGTTGTTGCTCTGAGTACTAAATGGACTGGCGACCTGTCCAGGGTGTAACATATGTGTATCGCCCAATGTGACCTACAGCTCACCAAATTACCCCTGGTATCAGATTGTTACTGTGTTGCCAGATGCCTGTAGTGTGGCACTAATTAATAAAGCTGATGCTTCGTTCAAACCGAACACCACTGGTGCACACACTGAAACAATGACGCGGTGAATAAATGCATAATTCAGCGGGCAATGTGAAATGATGGTATCAGATTGTAAGTCACTGTGATTCCCACCTCTGCTGCTGACAGGTGAGACGGGCAGGAAATGAGCTGAGACACAGAGGAGACTGAAATGCATCAGAGACCTTTCATGAATTTGATAATGGTAGTTGCAATTAAAAGCTGTGTGTCTTACCCACTTGTCCTCCAGGATGCTGCTTTTATCTGATAGTTGACAATGATGGAAGTGTCTCTAATATAATGGTAGAAGCGCTGTGCCTTTTGTGCTGCTTTCTGCAGCTTTTAAATAGCTGGTATCCTTAAATGACCCTGAATGCAGCGGCCTCAAGTTGGCACTGAACTGAGCTGAGCTCAGTTGTGGTTTGTTATGTGGTACGCTTTATATATACTGTATATTTCATCTCTACTCCATCCCACAGACAGACATAGATGGTCAAATATGATTTCAAAGCAAAGCTCTGACAGCCTGAAGGTATTTTTTTCCCTATGCTGTCCAAATAAAGACGTGATCTCAGAACAGCGTGTTCATAAAGAATACAGATGCGTGTTCTTCCAATACGATGTGGAAGACTGACTTTGCTACAGGTTTGTAATTGTTGTGTTTAGAGGTTGCAAACTAATCTCACATGCACGCTGCAGTGCCAGAAGTTTGTGGACACTTCCTCTTCTGTTTTTAATCAGTTATGTCTTGATGCTTCAGCATACTAGAGCTGCTATGGGCCAATAATTGTTAAGTTTTAAATACTTAATTAGTCACTTAAGGTAAAGCAAGAAATGACAAATTTTAGAAAGTGTCGGCAGTGCGCATTCGGCTACAAAGAAGCAGTTTTTATCGGGCTTGTGTGGAAGAAATGACCAACACTACATCCAACACCTCTGGGAACATGATGGTTCAAAACTGGCAGGAAGCCTGTAATGTTATATAACATTACATTAAAGTGAGAGTCTCTTATGTTGAAAGGTAAAGTTCAGGTGTACAAATGTGTGTTTCAAAGCAGCTGACATGCCTCAAGGAGAGTTTTATTCCTATGTGTTTATTATTGGACTCAAAATGGGACAAATGAGCCTCATTTATCTGATAATGTTGCGTGATGGAGCCACTCAGTCAGTCTTTCTGCTGAACAATTTGTTTTAGCTCCCTACTGCATCCCTTTAAATCAGCGTTGGGCAATTAATTTTCCGAGAGGCTGCATGAGAAACTAGGACTAGGGCTCCACCAATAATCTGAACTCAGTTCTGCTTAATATATATCTCTTCATAAGTTGGTGCCGGCAAGGCCAGGATTATCATTTCCGTATCCACGGAGCAGTAGGGACTGTGGGATGCAAATTTCATCGTCAGATGTTTGCATGCCTGTCTCTATAGCCATGTATAGTATCACAGGAAGGACTACTAGGCCCTCGGGTCTGCAACAGAGTATAGTTGAGTCCCAATATAACTATAACCCACACCTGCCTTTAAGCCATCATTCTCCTAATTGGCTGCCCTTGAACTTGACGCTGCAGCAATTTTTCTGAGAAAACCATATAAAGGATATCTCCACTCTGACGTAATAGACGAACAAAGAAGAAGAACAAAATGTCATGAACATGGTGTTTACAGCAGTCTTAAGTTTAAGCTTTTGGCTCACAGAGTTTATCGGTACCTATACTGACCTAACTATTAAGGCTGAGCATCCACCACAGGAGTAGATACACAAGGCACTGGTGGATTTTTACATTTAAAAGTCATCCACATATTGTGGCAAATGGTGAGGCTAGGGTAAAATGATGTTTCATGCTGGTTCCTTTTTAAGCTCATTTCTATTTTTTTTTTTTTTTTTTTTAAAGCTATTTTTATGTGTGTTCCCGGTGGGGGTCATCTCAGGCTTTGGAAACTCTGAACTCAACCCAACGTCTGAAGAAATATCAAAGATTACATCACAGAAAGGTTGCTGGATGTCATGTGACTGTAACATGTGTGTGAATCTCATCGACGTGCTGCCGATCTGTAACAGGCCGCCATACAGTGTGTGTGTGTGTCCTCAGCAACCGTCGCCGCATGTCATCTCTGTCGACTAACTGGGCTAATTTCATGGTCTGATGAGCAGACAGAGGAAGGCTGGCAGACTCACCGTTGAAGGCAGTTTCTTTTGAAGCTGTGAGTGTGTATGTGTGTTTGAAGGAGCGTTAGGGGTGGTGTGTGTTCGCCCATCGTGACTGGTGTGGTTGGACTCCTACAATTAGGTGATGAATCACACAGTGGCGACAGAGCCAGTCACTGCAGCATGGCCGCTTTCCTTGTGTGGAGGACGACGGTGACGTTCACGAACGCTGTGCAATGTTAGACTAAAGCGGGGTTTCAGTCAATCCTGCTTTTTGTGTGTGTGTGTGTGTGTGTGTGTGCGTGTGCGTGCGCGTGCGTGTGCGTGTGCGTGTGTGTGTGTGTGTGTTCCCTCTGGCCGAGCAGTCGTTGTGGCGTGTGGGTGGTACTGAGATGTGTAGTTTTCCAGAGTGTTTTGACTGTGGGTGGCTTTCTTTCTTTGGTTTTTCAGTAAAACACAACCAAATATAAAGCTGTTATTTTAATAATTAAAAATCTAAATAATTATTAGGCTAAATATCTGGTACTCTGGCTCTATGATTATGCAGAGCAGCTCTAGTTAACAGAAAGACGAATGCTTAAAATCTGACAGCAGATTTAGAGACCTGTAGGAACCACAGCCGTGCTGGTAGATGGTTGATATTTTATTCACAGTTTTTTCATATATAAGACACTGATGATCTTTTAAACCATCAAAATCAGGTGAATTGATTCCCAGATATTAAAGCAAGGCCCTGTTGCTATAATTACTTATTATTTACAATATTAAATCTGCTTCTTTCTGTGTTTGTAGGCTTTGATAAGAGGCTCTTCATGATGAGCAGCTAACACTGACTGCCGCACAACCACAGGAAGAGACGTGGCTGCTGCACCACCCACAGTTGACGCATGGCGGTATTAGGGGTAAGAATCGCTCTGTGAGGTTTATCGGTGCTTGAAGAAGTTAGAATGTTTTCACAATAACAGGAAGCATCTTTTCCTTTCATCTTTTCAGTTTCTGTTTATGTATAACCTGTGATATTAACTGTCCTCTAAAAACGTTCTGTTTTGGTGTTATGATTCATAACAATGGTGAAATAATTGTTGAGCATTTGAGTGGTTTTCAAACATTTTATGTCCAAGGGAGACCGAAGAATGAGCCAAAATTTCAAGGGACGCTTATTGACATGTTTACAGAAAATAGCCTTCATTTAATTAAAACATCATAATTTCTTCTTTGAGCTATATACAGCAGTATGGTTTAAAAAAATGTACAGCTTTACTGCTAATAGGCAAGCAGCAGACAAATAAGTTTGATTAACTCATCGTCAGCGAGTGTGACCTCTAACCCCAGGTTGCTCTCCGATGCATCCATCAGAGTGTGAATGTGTGGATGAATGTTAGTTATACAGCACTAAAAACGCAGAAAAGTGCTTGTGTGAATGGGAATGAACGAGTTGTGTAAAGTGCTTTGAGCGTTCAGATAGAGAGCTATATAAGAACCAGTCCATTTACCATTTACTTTAACAAAAGCACATGTTAAATTAACTCGCAAAATTCTTCCCATCAGCGGATGTCCCAGCAAATTTCCCCCCACGGTCTGACTGTGCATTGCTCAGAGAAACTAGGAAAAAAATGGAGAGCTACATCTCAGACTGTACAGGCCTTGGTATCCTCCTAAAGGTTGAAGCAGATGATGGTACGATTAGAAAAAGTCTGAACAAGTATTGAAGGTTTGAAAGGAAAGCCTCTTCTCTCTAAAAAGAAAATGACAGTACAGCTTAGGTTTGCAAAGCTGAATTTGAACAAACTACAAGACTTCTGGACCAAAGTGGAGACGTTTGTCCATGATGCACAAAACCAAAGACAGCGTATCAGCACAAAGACACACCAGTCGTCTGCATGATGAGAGGGCTGAGGATTTGGGCACCTTGCAGTTATTGAGTCAACTTTGAACTCCTGTGTGTACCAAAGTATTCTAGAGTCAAATGTGAGCTCATCTTCCATTTGCTTGAAAGCTAAGGCTTAGCCCAAAATGGGTCGTATAACAGAACAATGATCCCAAGCACAGCAACAGATCTACAACAGAACAGACCTCAGCCTGACTGAGCTGCTGTAGTTGGACATTCAGAGAGCTGCGCATGAATGCAAACCTCACTGAAATGAAGCAACATTGGAAAAACGATTGAGCCGAAATTCCTCCACAGTGATGTGTTAAACTGATAAAATCATAAAGAAAATGATTAATTCAATGTATTGCTGCTAAAAGTGGTTCAACAAGCTCCTGAATCAGGTGTTTATTTAGTAGATTTACAGTTAGCTCTAGAAATGTGCCTTCATCTGACTATCCAGTCCTGTGAAAAACTGTAGTTCAAACTACTGCACAACATTTGGAAACCTCCGGCCTAATAAGAAACTGAAAAGGTTTCACTCCGGTGGTGTTTTTTCAGTGCTTTACTTGAAAAGTTCACATTTTGGGAGGCAGCTAAAGATTTGAATAGATAAATTAGCATCATATTTATTATTTAGTAATGAACTTAAACATTTGATTCTGCATCAAACTGCTTTTCTGCCTGAAAAATTGGTTTATTACTTATTTATTTTTTCCCCCCAGAAGTAATTATAAATAACAGATGTTCAGTTTAATATTATGCTAGCTAAAATATAAAGTTTCAAATTTAGAAAAATTTTATTCAGTATTTACCTTTGATCAAAAGTATTTTATTTATTATCTTACCACAAACTTCTTCTATCATTAGTAAGTGCTGTTCATTACTAACTCTTTAAATGTCTCTAAACTTGTGTGAAAACCTGATGTTTTGAGGAACATTTTTGATTGTTTTCCATCCTGGTGTGGAGACTCTTGAATCGGTCTGACACTCAGGAACGATTTCTGAGCAGCTTTGAGCCTCTAAATAATGAATGTTGGCTGTCTCACTGTCTCCTTCACTGAGTGCAACTGGCCATTATCTGAGGTATCCTTACTGGTTGTTGCACATCTGATCATTTGGCCTCAGCAGTCAGTCTGCTGTTGTCAACCTTTATGTCTCTGATTTATCTGTCAGGAAGGAAAAATTGCAGCTTTTGCATATTAATTACATTTGATCCTTATGGTAAATTTACTAAACCATAAAAACATGTATAGAGTGTTGGGTCTCCTCAGGGTGACTCTTCAAGGCTGAAGGGCTAGATCCAGTCACATAAAAGAGAAAGATGCCACTCAGACATCCTCTTCTAAAAATGATCTGTGACAGTGGAGATCAGAGCAAGTTTTAAAAAACAAAAATAAAGCTTTTCAGGTAGTTTTCCAGGTAGTTTTCCCCACTGTAATTCAGTTGTAACTAAGTCATTACATCCGTCTCGATCTGAATGAGACTGACTAAAGCAGGGCGCGGAGGAAGGCCACACAGTGTCGGAACCACCAGAATATAAAAATGGATTTTGAATATGCCTTTTGCTCATTGTTTGCACGTGGAGGCAGCAAAACTAAGACAGAGCTAAATGAAATTCAAGGTCAACTTAATGATTTATTTATCAGAAATTCACAAAAAGCCTTATAACTATGAAAGTGACCTATACAAGTGTGGTGTTTTGTCAACATATAGATAGTACCATATCTCAATCTCTTCAATCTCAAAATGAATATTTAGAAAATATTAATTTCCTTAAAAGATTCGAGCTCTCTGAGTGCTTCTTTTTTTGTAGTTTAAGGCTTTTTGTCTTTTTTTTTTCTTTTTTTTTTTTATTATAAATAAATGATTAAGTTGACCTTAAGGACTACAATGGACGTAAGCCAAATTTTATTGACCCCATTCGACACACCTACACCTACCTAAGTGTAATCAGAATTCATTCTAAACCTTTCAAGCTATACTATTTACAGACAGACACACAAATGCTACAAAAAAGATTATCAGGTGGAGTTGATCAGATGGGGTCACCAGTGTTGCTTGATGTAATCAAAATAGGCTGAAGTTAAGTTTAAAAAAAAAATTAAATCAGAAGGAAAGATAAAAGCCATTTTCGCCTGTCGCCTTATCTTTGATTGAGCCTCAGTTCTGTTTATCAAGGCGACACTCTGTCAACTGTAAACTTAAGGTTTCCACCCAAAGCAAACGAACCAGTGAGTGTTGGTTTTCAGTCGTGTGTGTGTGTGTGTGTGTGTGTGAGTGTGAGTGAGCGGGGGCAGTGTGCATGTAGCACACAGCTGTTTGAGGCTTTATGCATGTGACAACTGTAGGAGCTCTGAACTGTAGGAGATTACAGTAGTTTAACAGAGGACACACATTTAAACTGGAGTAGGAACAGTTGAGATTTTCTAGCCTAATTTTAAGCATTTATTAAAAAAAGATGAAACTCTAGTTATTTAGTACATAATTTTCAACTTCCCAGTAAGATCTGTCTTGTTTGTAATTTTATTTGTACTAATCTAAACAGATCTAAAAGGATTTAAAGTCACATTTTTAGCAGCCACTAAGTGAAGTTTCTGGTCTGACAGGTGAGTTGACCGTTAACACCCGAGCAGAGTTTCTGTGAGAACGGTCGACTCCCTAAAGATGCCCCTCGCAGAGTGAAACCACAGTTAGTCATGCTGTTACTCAACGCAAACTCAGCTCCTGTTTAGCAAATCACTGCTTTCAACATAGCTCCCGTGCAGCTCTGTTAAAGCATGAATCACCAGATGAGCAGCTCCCCCCGCAGCCTGTTCTGCCAGCCTGTCTGAGAGCGCCGCTACGCTCAGCTAAAGGCTCGGCCGATTTCGTCGTTAGTTCGAAGTCATTACTGCCAGCATTTGGTGATTCACCTGGATTGTCTCAGGTAGGAGGTAAATTGAAGGGAACAGCAGGGCTTAAATAGCTGCAGTAGGCTATAAAACTTTTTCTTCAAGGGCATCAAAAGATTAAAAACCCTGTTCTGACGAAAGCGTGAAAGATGGCTAACTGCTAAATTTGTCTCCTCCTCCAGAACCCCGACATGCTGACGAGGAAGATAAAGCTGTGTCACATCAACGCCCACATCACATGTCGTCTGTGTGAGGGCTACCTGATTGACGCCACCACCGTCACAGAGTGCTTACACACCTGTAGGTCCTCCCCACCCCTCACTCTGTGATTTCAAGTACTCTCGCTTCTTCTTTCTCATCTGCTCGCTTCTGTTTTTAAGTTTTCTGTTGTGTGTCTCACACACACACACACACACACACACACACACACACACACACACACACACACACACACTGTTTTTGTCTCCCAGGATTTTTCTTGGCTCTTTGCCGTTCGGGGGAAAAAATCCTGGAGGCTGAGCGATGCTTCTGATATCTGTGCAGCGCCGCTTGTTGCTGTTTCTGTTGGTCAGGTTGACTGTTGCTTCTTCCTTTACTGTTTCTGCAGAGCATAATCTCAAAACAATCTTCATTTGTGCTGGTGTTTTCCAACAAATGGCTTTGAATATGAAGTAGATGCGCGTACAAAGACTCACAAGAGGGCAGACCAGATATTCTGCACATTTATTAGTCTCATAAAAATATCAAACTAAGTCACCTCTTATGCATCAGCTGGGTGTTTTCAATAAAGCGCTGTGATAACACCTGGTTCATGCTGCAGGTAGAGGCGTTATCTTGTCTGATCCAATGCCTTAACCCAGACACAAAGACTCATCTGGATCCATGAGCATCTTTAGAGTTCTCTTACAAATTCTATGAAAATAAGTAGTTTTTTTAGGACGTAACCTTAAAAACAGAGTTTAGTCAGCGTCTTCAGTAAAAATGATGAAAAACCCTCTCTTAATCAAAGCTGTGTCCACACTGGATGCGACCAGAAGTGACCATAGTGATAACCGCTGGTGACAGGAATTGGGCGGGGCCCGAGAGAAACTTTTCTTAGTTTCCAGGCGAGCAACTGAAGAGACCAATAAGAGTGAAGAACACTATTAGTCGACATGTGGCCTGGTGGTATATACATTAGAGGATCGCCTAATTAGCTGGAGCCTGAAATGTTGCAAGCGATCGGCCACCAGCTTCAAAGCGATGCGTGAGCAGCCCACTGCTTCCAGTCTGGACGCAGGTTTAAGCTCAACTCATACAGTGTAATTAAACGCGTTTACATGTTTGTGAAGGCAGGCTGTGCGAAGTCATTGCCACTGTCACTGATGTTAACTCAGCCAAAGAGGTTTTGTAAAAAGTTCAGTTTTGGCACAATGAAAATTGTGCCAGAGGTGATGATTGGGTCGACGTTCGATCTGGATCTGCATTCAGGATTTTTTTTTCATCACTGTGAGGACTGTGGATATTTCCCATCCTATCTGAAACTGAAAATTAGTCAAGTGGTTTTATTGTCATTCCAACCATGTGCAGCGGTACAGTGCAAAGTGAAATGAGACAATATTCCTCCAAGACCATGGTGCTAAATATGACATACAACAAACAATATAACAGACAATCAACACAGGACTACATAAAGTGCAATATACAAAAAATATACAAAAAATACAAAGAATAGCAAACCAAAAAACAAAGACTGCAACACCAGACACAAACACAATAGTGCAATAGAAATGTGCAAAAAGTCACTTTTAGGTTCTTTATCCATGCATTGGTCTTGTTTTCCACAAACACAAAACTTTAATCCCTCTTTTCCCCCCAAACACACACATTCTGATCCTGCCTTTAACTCCTAAAGTTTCCTGGACTTAAAAAGACTCTTTAACCAGTGTCTGAAGGACTGATTATAAAGGCGTTAAGTTTGACTGCTCACATTTTGTTTGTCTCATGAAGAGGCTCCTCGTGGCTACACTTTCTTACCTTTTTATTTATTTTTTTAATATTAGCAAGTCTTAACCTTAATTAATGTTAATTTTGTTTTTTTGTTTTTAACATGAGCTCCAGATATAAGGGCCACACTTACACCACCTGCTGGTTAGTACAGTTTTGGTGATAATAGGATAGTTTTGGACAGTCTGTTGCTGAAATACAGAGTGACCACTTCATTAGTGCACAAAAAAAATCAATCAGAGTTCACCTGTGATGATGACTGTAAGGTTTTTGTTATTGGGTAAATACATCAAGTCTTAAGATACTTTGGGTCTTAGTCATGACATTACATAACATAAAGAGCCATTTCTTAAAAGAAGGAACCCAAAAAGAGAAGTCTTTGCAGAGGACTGGTTCATATTGGAGAACATGTGTATGCAAGGCACGTGTCGGAAAAATGAAACTGAAAACGATTTTGGTTAAATCAGATTCAAAAACTGATATCAAAAACTTTTTTAAAAAATTCTTGGAACTTCTAAACCTTTTAAAGTCGTCTGTTTAGACACGGAAAACTGAGTTGCATAAAGGTAGAGCCTATTTTAATGTATTTTGCTGGTGTACTTAATAAAATGGCATGATCGGCATGTAAAAACAGAAGCAACGTCTGGCAGAGCTGCTTTAGAGGAAAAGAGTCAGATACGTTGCACTGGTTGTTGTTGGTTTGTGCTTTCTGGTGCGTGAAACCAGACGGCGCTCATGCAGAAAGTTTGATTCTGTGTGTTCACCGGCGTCTGATCGTAACGGCTGCAGAGTTCATAATAACTACTGTGTATGAGCTGATTGTGCTTTTGAAAAGTAAACAAACAAAGTAATCCAGGACTCCTCAAAGGCCAAGAGAAGCTAAAGTGCAGCTTCAGTTGCAGCGCTTCCGAAATTAAAATGTTTTCTGGTCTTACAAGATGAAACTGAATGGCTTTCATTTGGAGCATTTGAGGTAATTTACAGATTAAAGGCCTTTTTAATGGAGTTTGAAAGTTTGGTCAGCAGCCAATTTGATCGCGGATTTGATTAGTGGGCGAGTAACTGAGAGTTGCTCCGTGTATTGGCAGCAATAAGTAAGAAGTTGATGTTTTTAATGTAGAAGGAGCTTTGCAGAAGAAATGAAAACGACAAAAAACCAAGAACAAAGAGGAAATAAAAGGCTTGACGACATCAGGCGCTGAAACCTCAAAGGCGAAGGAAATGTTGTTTTTGTTTTTTTTGTGCTTTTTATAACTTTACAAGAAATCATGTTTACTCTGCTGCTGAATTTCTTTGATTTTTTTTTTTTGCTGATTTGTCACAGATCTGATCACACCAAGTTTAATATTAGACAAGGATAACTCGAGCATACAAAATGCAAACCAGACATGTAAAGCCAGGTGGCTGCGTCTTTACAGGGTTAAAACCTGCATCACTGCCATTATGTCAGTTTTTCCACAATCAAAGCTGAAAGAGAATGAAACAGTGCAGACTTCATATTTTCAGCAAATGAGATGGTTGAGTTTGAATAACTAGGCACCCGATGGGGTATTTTGTTTTATTTTTATTTTTTTTAAATAAAGTTCTCAGTAGGTTTTAAACCTCTTGAGGGCGTCTGGCTTCACCTCCTCCAACATGTCACCAAACACTTCCTGAATACTGAGTGAGGCCTGGTTTATCCTGCAGTCTCACTTTTAAATCAAGTCATCACGTGCTGAATGGTTGCACATTGTTTAGCATTTTATTGCTTTTCCCCCCCTCAACCTTGAACTTGACATTTCATAATCCCCGCAGGGGTCTCCGAGTTGTCGAGGCCTTGGCCTGTCCCCCCCCCACAACCTTAAGTGCCCTCTAATGCTCACATGAGAGTCTTTAGATTGCCTAGCTAACCACACCAAGCTGCTCATGTTGGCAGATTAAGATGGCTGTTTTTGTGAAATCACAATTTTCTGATGCAGGATAATAAAAAGTGTCCAAGCATTCTGAGCTGGGGGCCGCTCTCACCCCCTGTGGAGCAGCTTAATTGAACTTGACACATTTATTTCAGGAACAACACACTCAGCATTTGGGGAGATTAAAAAAATGATTTGATAAATTGGACACTGATTAGAGCAGAACAGTGAAAATAAACATAACCCTGTATCAGACATGTGCTGGAATATATGTTAAGATAACCACAGACATTTTAGTACCTCTCTTGCCCACCAGAGGGAGCTCTTCACTCACAGATGGAAGCCCCTCTGCCCACTTAAGGCGTCTGAGTCCAGACGTGATGCTTTGACTCTCCCTCTCACTTGGAGAAAGGCTCCACCATTGGAGAGTGGAGACAAAGAGATTCACATCACGTCACCACTGCAGCTGTTCTGACAGATCGAGCTCTATTGTCACAGAAACGGGAGGGGAAAAAAAGTGTGGCTGAGATGGGTAAAGTGGTGAACCACGTGCTGCAAATTACAGTGCTGGGTTGTACACAACATGTGCTGTACACATGAAGGGATCCATAGGTGAGGGGTCATTTTCTTTAAGCACAGGCATTGTTGGCAGTATGAGATTCATTAGACGCAGTTTGTGATCCAGTATGTCTTTTTTTTTTTTTTTTTTTTTTT